AGACCAAAAGAAAAAGACAGGTATGCAAGATTACTATCTTAGATTGGATGCTTTAGAAACAAAGCCTGAGATGAGGATTTCTGTATTCTTGGGCAAACTGAAAATGAGAGTACAGGAGAAATGGGTGAGGCAGTGAGGGACAAGGATAAAGTTTGGGAGGAAACAAGCAAAAGTGTGGATTCAGGAGAAGTCTAGCCTCAGCCTGATCATGGAGGTTTTCCTGCCCAGAGGCAAGGAGGCCTCCCCATTTTCTCTCTCCACCTCCTCACCCCACCCCACGTCAGTCAGTCAGTCAAACATTAGTCATGTGAGTCATGTGCTACCCCCAGGAAAGCAGAGGAGTGGGGTGGACAACACTTCCCAGGCATCTCCAGGTAATGAGGCTCCAGCCAACTAAGGGAAATCCTCCTGAAAATAGTAGGGTGAGCTCTTAGTAGCCAACCCTTGTGGCAGCTGGGTTTGAGGGCACTACTCCAGTAAATGGGATCTGGATGTAGCATTAACATCAACAGCTATATTCGTCACATAGCTGGAAAGCAAATGAGAGGAAAAAAGACAATTGGTGTCTGCCAACCAGCTCAAAACCAGTTTGTGTCTGTCTCCCAAAGTCCCAAATGCTCTTAACCACTAAGCCACATATGCATAGAGTTTATGGTTTTTACCTACTTTATCTCATTGACTTTTCCCCAAACAGAGTAAAGTAACTATCAACCCATTTTTACCAAGAAGGAAATTAAGGTTTTGAGAATCTGAATCTAAGGCCACATGCCAATAATTGGTAGAGCCAGGATTCACAAACAGGTCTCCTGGCTCTAATTGGCTTTTCTCTTCTAACTGAGAAATCTGGGCAAAATGGATTAAAGATCTTGATATCAGAGATAACTGAAGTGCGAAGGCCATTTTCTACATCAAAATACTTTAGTGAAGCAACTAAATCAGATGGTGTGGTCTTTAGCTTTGGTCCCTTCTTGTTTGGCATTTGGAGAGCTCTGTTGTGTTGCTCTGGCTTTTAGCTCAAGCTCAGTCTTCCTGAATGAACTTCTGCCAGTTAGGAGCATGTTTTATCATGTCCCTGTTGCATCAGGTCCCAGCCACTGTTTTGCCTGCAGGTGATCTTGGCATCCTCCTATCTGTCCAACCTCGAGTTTTAGATGGCTGTAATGTCCCTGGAAGGCTCTGCCTAACAGACAGACGACACTCATACTTTATTTCTCCCTCCGTTTACCCACAATTGGATGGACTGAAAAGTCACAGAGCAAGGACACTGGAGACAAACTTTCAGTTGTAGCAAGCAATGGCTCTGTCATCATGGGCAAACCCTTTAATCTCTGAGTTTGAGTTTCCTCTTCTATAAAATTAGTACTCCATTTCCTACTTCTTAGAATTGTTGTATGGATTAGAAGCAACATATTTAAAATACCAAGAACATAGCAGGTGTGCAATCAATGATAGTTATTTTTATGTGACAGACACACCTGCACAGGAGCCAAAGACACACATACAGGAGCTTGCTAAGTAAGTTTGCAACACTCCAGCCTTGGCAAGCAGTGGCTTCTCAATGTGTTTAGCCCACTCAGCATGCCACCCCCAGACAGGTCTCTTGCCTACCCCCATCCCCTAGCTTCTCGTCCCACCTTCTCCCCACTCCCTATGGCCACTGTTATGGTTCCTCAAGCTTCCCTTGTCCAGAGGTCCTGGTCCGGTGGCCTCATTGCCTTCCACACTCCAGCTCCATGGTGATTCCGCCATGAAGTCTTCCTGTGCAAAGAAGAGGATCCCTGTGGCCCACAACTTAAGTGATCTAGGTCACAGCTCTGTCATACTACCTTTGAGAAGCGTCTTCATCTCTTACCATTTCTAAGAAATGACATTCTGGAGGAAGTCTGTGCCATTTCTTACCTCCTATTTATGATCCTCGATGCCCATTTCTGGGCAGCTATTCTGCTAGAGTAATAATCCTCTTTCTTCTAAAACAGTGACTTAAGGGCAGAACCGTTTCTTATACCTCAGTTTCCTCCTTTCTATAATGTGACTCATTGATTTTTCCCAGGGATGTTGCTGAATTAAATGGAAAACTATAGAACACACTGCCCCGCCCACTCTTTACACAGCTAAATGTCATTTTTCCAGCCCTCCGAGCCCCTCTTTTTTTTTAAGACCCAGAGTAAATAATTAATGACTATTAGTTCCAGTTGCATTTTCTTTTTATGCTCTTGAAGGCTTAATACTATGCTGAGCACATAGTAGGGGCCAAGAAGAAAAATACAATTTTAATGAATAATAATGACTTCTGACTCCATGCCTGCAAACAGCAGGGACGCTGGGCACTGGCTTCTCCTCCCTTCAGCTGAGTAACAGCCTTCCGGGATAGAAGTGACAAAGCACCGTGTGCTCAGAAGCACATCATTATTTTTGCTAAACTCGCAAATTTTCAGGCTGAGAGCTGATAACCAAATGGTGTTAGCAGGATTACAGCACTATCTGATTCCTGGAGGAAGGGAGGGGGCTGACTTGGAGTAGCATGAACTGCAGTGAATATTCAAATCCAACAGCTGAGGCTTTGCTTAGCTGCTTTCAGTGGCCTCTCTGGAAGGACCTCACCTAGAGCCCCTAGGCTGCCCCTGGGCCTGGGCTAGTTGGGGGCAGGAGCCTCATTCCCTCCAGTTGGCATCTGTCTCTGTTGATAGAATTGGTATGCGGTGTGTTTGGGAGAGACAAGGTGCCTATTAGGGCCTTTCGCCTTTGTCAGGATAGACTGGGGTCTACTGCAGGGCCTCCTCTGAATTTGACAGTGCTTGGTGAGATCTAAATACCTGGGCTAGGTCTTGAGCGATGGTTTTTTACTTTTGTACCTTCCCAATGACTGGCTGGGGTTGTAACAAAAATGAATAAATGCTGCCCCTAGGACCTTTGACCTCTTGCCCATGGTAGACCCACATGAACACTACCCTAGTCAAAATGCACCCCCAAATTTAAAACAATATATATTGCCTTTACATCAACCAATCATTTTACATTGAACCACCCCCTCCCATCAACTATGCAAGCCCCAGCAAGTAGATCATGACCCAGGGCTGGTCCTGTCTTCCTTTTATCCACCCCCCCCCTTGCCAATACTGCATGCATCAACCAGACTAACCCCATCAGGGCATTTATAGGCAGTTTGCAAAGAGCATCCTCTTGGGAGTCAGACACTCTCAATGGAGTTTTCTCTCAGTCACCAAATTCCTGGACAGGTTTAGAAACTCGATTTAACGTCTCTAGGCCCACTTATTTATTTAGCTCTTCAATGAGTTTGATAAAAGTAAGATCTAATGATGTGCTGCAGAGGAAAGCACTCTGTGTGTTGCAAAGCACCATGTCCATGGGGAGCGTGCTATAAATATCTCTGCTACTTCCTCGGGGAAGATGGTGGTTTAATGACAACCTTGATGGGTTCTGAAGAGGAGGGCATCTGCTCTGCTGTCCGTGCACAACCTGGGGTGGGGCATGGGCCATGCTAAGGTCAGGCCAGCCTGGAGCTGCTGAAACATAACCAAGGTGACTCACTTCCCTGATAACTGGGCTGAGAAAACTGCAAGCTTCTTCTTGCCCTTCCTCTAGCTGGGCCGCACCTCTTAGGACAAAAGATATTTGGTACCAGAAAAGAAATGTCAAGTCAAGTCAGGAAGAACTGGCTCTGAGTCTAAGATTTTCCTTTTGAGTTCAGAAAGAGTTTGGCAATAAGTAAATAACCTGTGCTTTGTCTATTAGTGGACTCCAAGCCCTGCCTGATAGTCAATGTGACCTTGGACAAGTTTCTCATGTTCTCCTGGCCTATTTCCTCCTCTTTAAACTTGCTGTAATTTGAATATCCTGGGGTTACTTGGAGAAATTTTAATGAATTCTTATGTGTAGGAGATGATCAATAATATCTATTTCTGTCCTTTTCCTTAAGTATAAATTATATCAGGAAATGGTTTATTTTGCTTGTTTGTATTTTCCCTTTTACTGTAATGTATGTTTTACTTTCATAAGAAAATAATTTCAAACCATTTAATTCTGTAAAAGAAAAACTGAATGAAGACTGCAAGAGAAAACTTAGGATCAGAGGGGCTTAAATGGCCACCTCCAACAACCTGACTGTTCAGGGCCGGAAGTGGAACTCAAATCTGGCTTCTAGCCTCTGGGTGTGGCTGCAGGGGTTTCATATGTGCTACCCTCAACTCTTTTTAACTTCAACTCTCAGGGGGTTTAAATTTTCTTTCACATTCAGGGTTCCAAATTTAGAGTTGATTTTGAAAGATACATATATTTATATCTCAATGCATATGGCATACATGTCTATAAATGCATATTGATCTTTCAGGAAATAGATAAACAGACTCCCAGACTAAGTGAAAGGCCAGCCCTTAAGTCAGCTTTTCACAGAATCTACAGGATGAAGACACACATAGATTTTGCAATTTATGTTTTCTATTCTAAGTGGCTTTCTGGAGGCCAATTGCCACCTGGGATAAAGTACCCAGCCCTAAAATAATTCTGAAGGCCAAGGGCTTAATCGCCTTTATTGTAGGGTTTGCCCCTTGCTAAAATCGTTAGTGTATGCAAATATTCTTTGAGGCAAAGATGGACCACAGGGGACCTCTAGCCAGTTGTTAACTGCTTCTCCATCCTTAATATTGCCTTGTTCACTTTGAGTTTACATGGCGTTAAAATCCACCTTCAAGTACCTGCTGAAGTTGGGAATAGGTAAAATTGCCACCTCCAAGAAGCTCAGTGAAGATAAATCTTACAGTGCAAGTAAAACATAAATCTGATGACCACAGTGAAACATTAAAAATTAAAAAGAGCAATGCAAAAAGGAGAGGGGATGAAGAGGAACATAATAGACATGAAAAACATTTTTTTTTTTTTTTTAAGTAAGAAAAGAGTCTAGATTTTTGCAAAGAGTGCAACACAGAGAGCTGTTTTGAGTTGGGGGCAAGTTAATTATATTCAAAAAAAGATACTGTCTCCAGAAAAATCTTTTTTTTTTTTTTGTTGCAGTGAAATATTTTAGTTCCTTCATATAGAGACATATTACACAATGTTAACAACCATGAAAAACAATACAAAATGCCCTCCATTTAACAAGTAGAAAAATATAACTAGTATATATGGCAATTGTGAATCTAATACTGTACAGAAGTAATTTATGGATTTTACAAATAAATTATAGCTTAAATGCCTTTTTAAAATCCTTTCTCCCCCCGTAGATGTACACCAGAACTTACAATAGGAAAGTTTCCGAGCCTAATTTATTGCAAATCAGTGCCAGTCAAATGTTCTGCCGACAAGCTCGAAGAATTTCTTATTTGGCTCGTGAAAATATTCGTGCAGTTTGTTGAGTAGTTTGGGATCGACTTGAGGGTGGGCCCGGCCTTTGGACTCGTGCAAGCAGCGGTCCCGGCCACTGTCCCGCAGGCAGTAAAAGCCCTTGGTTTTGTTAAAGTAGAAGTTCGAGGCATTGATCTGCGGCGACAGCTTCAGGAACCTCTCGACCTTTTGGATCTCGGGGAAAGGGTCCCTGATGAGGCGGTCGCCGTCGACGATGTGGATGTGGCGCAGCGGGAAGAAGCGCAGCCAGTTCTGCATGTGCACGTGGTACAGGCTGCGGTTGAGGGCCTTGTAGTCCACGTTGAGTCGGCCGTCTCGCACCAGGAACTCCTCGATGGACGGGTAGGGCTTGCGCTTCTGCACGTGGTTGTAGAACACTTGGGTGTAGTCGGACAGCACGCGCTCCGACGGGTCCCGCAGGATAAGCAGCAGCCGGATGGCCGGGTTCATGCTGTGGACTCTCTCAGGCACTTTGGGCGACGTGAAGTAAGCGGGGGTCTTTTCCACCGTGAGCTGGCGCGGGGAGGAGAAGGGCATCTGGCTGAGGTACCAGCCCAGGCCCTGGCTGTAATGCTCCTCCCAGTCGAAGAAGTGGACCTCGTTCTCGGCGGCCGCCACGTCGGGGTGCAGGCTGAGCATCTCCAGCAGCGCGCGGGTCCCGCCTTTGCGCACGCCGATGATGATGGTCTGCGGCAGCTGCTGGGCAGAGCCGTTGGGAGCAGCACCATCTCGGACGTCATCCTGGAGGGTCCCCGCTTTCCGCAGAAGCTCCTGCTGACCCGCCTCGACCCCAGGGGCGGCGGGGCGAGAAGGCACTAGCTGGGGCTGGGCCACCAGTAGCACCGCGCCCAGGAGCAGCGCGGCCATGCCGGACACCACTGTGGCTTCACTGGGCCGCGCGCCGCTGGGTCATGAAGCGCTGCAGCGGGGAATGTCTCCTGATCAGTGGCACATGGGTGCCGCAGGCCGCCAGTTACTAGGGAACAAAGAGGGTACATATTAAGCCAAAATAATGCAGGAGTAATCCAACTGAACACTCTGTGGCCACTTTGTAGCCACTCTGTAGTGGGTGCTACACCGCACCCCCCATGCCCCCCAGAATTCTCAGTTTCTTTATCCAATAAAGCACCAGGCGGCTAACGTTTCTTGTAAAGGGCCAGAAGGTAATTTTTAGGCTTTTGAGGACATAACTGTCTCTATGGCAACTCCACTCCAACTATGCTGATATAGATCTAATGCAGCTATACAGAATACACAAAGGAATGGCCGTGGTTGTGTTCCAAGAAAACTTTATTTGTAGACACTAAGATTTGAATTTCATGTAATTGTCATGCCATTAAACACCATTTTTCATTTTATTTATTTATTTATTTATTTTTTGCAATCATTTCTACGTTTAGCTCTTTGGCCACACAAAAATAGGGCCAGGTCTGGCTGACCGGTCACAATTTGTCAACCCCTGATATAAAGTAAATGGTTGGGAAGATCCTTTACACCTCAGCAAACATCAGTTAAATATCTACTACTTGCCAGCCCCTGGCAGAGGGGCAGGTGATACAGAAGCTGGTTTGTTTCTGTGCCCTACTACCTCCACCGGGGACTCCTAGTCTAATAGAGCAGGTGAATCTGTATGGAAGATTGAATATTTAGTCTCAATTCTTCACCCTGCATCCAACCGTTACCATGGCCTCATTGTGGGGGAGTTTGCTTCCCAGAAACTTGGTTTAGGCTTTGCCAATGGCAAGTGCACAGACAGACAATGGAAAGAGGCCTTGTGTGTTTCCACCAGCTCTCTTTCACTCTTGTCATGGTCAGGAGAAGAAAATGCCCTGTCCAGCTCATGGTTTCAGGAGGAGGATGAGAGACATGTACAGCAGAGCTGCCCCATGAATCCACCGTGTGCAGCACGGCCATCCCAGCTCATGAGTTGTGAATGCACCATTGGTTTTAAGGCATTGAGTCTTGGTGTAGTTTGTACTGCAGCATGAATTTGGGAAAGGTTCACTGATACAACTTGACTACGGGCATCAAGGTGATATATGTTATGACTGTAATTTAGGTTCTATGAGGACCCATGTTCATTCATTTTGCCTGAAACAATTGGAGATGGCTCTATAGTAGAAGAAATGTTTGAAGTGGAAGTAGAAGAAATGTTGAAGTCTAGGCAGAGGAATAAACAGGTGAAGTTACTAGAAAGAGCAAAAAGCCTCCATGTGTACAAGGCTTCACTATTTATAAAGTGGTCTCATAGTTGGTTCCATTGATTGTCACCACAACCCTACAGCACAAGGCAGGGAAGCAGAAAGGGTATCACCACCGTTTTACAGATGACAGTCTTGTCTAAGGACACAGATATGGTCTATTTCAAAATTCACAGCTCAAATTCAAAATTCTAAATGTAGGGCTCTTTTTCCACGAATTGCCTGCCTTTTACCAAACGTCTCCTCTTTACCTATCTGAGGTTTGTCACATTTAGGCAAAAAAGTCCCTCAAGGACACAGAAACTGCCTGCCTAGATGTTGTGAGGTTCCAAAAGATGGGTGAGTCAGGGTTCATGTTTTTAAGAGCTGATATACAATACAGCAATCTGTGTTTGACAATCTCCCAAAAAGAGTAGATTAAAAGCTCTCATTTAAGTCATCCAGTTAAAACACATTAAAGAAAAGGTTAGAGACAGGCCCGGCCTAGAGACTGTGGGATTTACAAAGCTAGTAAAAATATCCCCATCAAGAGGACCCATCATCTTTTTTATAGCAGTTTTAAATTTTACTAGTTTAAAACTTGTCCAGAATGAATAAATGAAGAATAAATTCCAAAACTTTCATTTTGTGATCAACCAGTTGATCTACCTCTGAGATTGTGTAATCTGCTTTGAAAAACATATATTAAAGATCAAGCAATTAAACAAACGGAAACTTTTAGAGAACCACAATACACTGGAGAAGGGCTTGAGAAATCATGATGAAAATCTTTAGAAATAAGTAAATGTTTAGGCAGGAATGGCCTCTCCTGATTGGATGAGCTCAATGTAATGGGCCATTTGCTTTAGTCAACTGAAAGTTTCATTATGTTTCAGTTGAATTTCATTTCCTTGTCAATTACCCAAGTGGGGTTGACCAAATGGCCCAGTTGTGCTTGCCTTTTACACGTTTGGGGTGTGAGTATGTGTGCATGTGCAGCAGGGGGGTGGGGAGCCAGCGAGACTCTGTGGTGGGCACCACTGTCACTAGCATACAGTTCTGTATTCAGACTCACACACTACAACCGATCCACGTTGTTCAATACTATAGTGATAGAGCCAGAAGTCAGATGTGAAATTGATACTGTCAAACTGTTCATGCTCTTTCCACTCTAACATGAGGTGCCCTGGTTAGCAGAGTGCACATGTGAGATTTTTTCCTAAAGGGGAATTACCGGTAGACAGCAGGTAAGAAACTAGATATAGTTTGCCCTTCATGAAGAAAAAAAAAAAACCTGGGCAGGTAGTACTATAGATTAAAAGCTCCTTGTCTGTATTTTAATACCTTCTAAAAATGTATTTACTTATGTCTAGATCTTTTTCATTCCAAAAATATTTGAGGCATATGGAAAAAAATTAGCTGAAGTCTTATATACACACATGGCATATATATATATATATACACACACACACACACTTACTATATATAACATACATATATATATAGCCCATACATATAACATGTTTGTGTATAACACTATGTGTGTATATGTAAAAATGTGTGTATGCATATATGTTTGTGTGTGTATATGCATACAAACATATCTGCATATGTAAATATATGTAAATATATATTACACACACACACACACACAGTGGCCAATGGAAGCCAACTTCCTCTTTTTTTTTTGTTGTTTCTACCCCTTTAAAAGTAAGACCAACTTCCTCTTAAATGATTTGATAATTTGGACTTCCCAGTGGCACAGACAGAATTTCTGGACCTTTTAGTAACACTCAGAAAAGAAAAGATCCCCAAGCTCAGGTGAACCTATAAGCCACCCTGATCTTGACGATGGAATTATAAACATCAGAGCAGAAGAGAATCATTTAGTCTTCACCTCCATACCCCAAGATGACTTCTCCCAAATCACATAGAAAATCTGCACCTATAACTCTTGGCTCCTGAATTCCAGATCTGTAGTTTAGCTGCTATTATTTCTGTCTCCCAAGTGAGAGGTTATAACGTAAAATAATGACAATGTTTTTAGGATACCAAAGAAGAGACACCCAACAGAATCTACCTAGCAGTGACAACTCTCTGCCAACCAACTCTAGAATCAGCTGACACACAGGTTAGGTACAGCACGGGGTCAAACTCATTCATTTGTTATCTTCAGTACAATGGTCAAAAGGAACTACACAGGTTTTGGAGTCAGAATTCCTGTCTCTAGTTTTGACCTTAGTCAAAGTGACTTAAACTTTCTCAGCATCAGTGTCTTCATCTGTAAAAAAGTCGTAATTCTGCCTGCCTCAAATTGTTACTATGAGACTGAAATGAGATAATGTGTATCAAGGCTGTGCAATAGAAATATGTGAGCCACATATGCACTTTAAAATGTTTAAAATGTTCCAGGAGCCACATTCAGAAAACAACATGCTTTACATAACCCAACATATCCCAAATCACTCCAACATATAATCACTATACAAAATTAATGAGATAGTTTGCATTTTTTGTATTTTTGAGATAGTTTGTATTTTTTTTTCAAAATCCAGTATGTATGCATCTAGCCTTACAGCACATCTCAAGGCCACATGTGGCTGGTGGCAGCTGAGCTGGATGGCACAGAGACAGAGAGCACTGAGGACAGTTGCAAATCTTAATCCAAAACCTCTTTAAGTGTGGAAAGCTCTCACTTTCTTAATAGCAAGATTTCCTGTCTATTCACAGATTAGGAGCTTCCTGAACAGGACAAGGACTGGGGAGGCAAGTTTGAATTTGCAGGCATCACAAAGACAAATTCATTATTCTCTCTCGAGAAATGAACCAGATAAAAATCAAACAAATAAAAGCTTTTGAAAGTCTGGAGCATTTAGATGGCATATGCATGGACAGAGAATGCTCTACAGCACCTGGTCCTGAGCCCTCATCACTTGGCAAAGGCAATGATCGGAGCCCCCATCTGTAGCACTTGCTGAGCAGGCACCAGGCTGACAAGTTTGCATACAGGGCTTCCTGCGATCCTCACTGGTAGTCCTTGAGAAAACTCAAGATTATTATAAAAAAATGAGGCTCAGAGAAATGAAGTGGTTTGTCTAGAAAGTTAAAGGCAGAGAAATGGTGAGAAATGATTCAACTTAGTCTGAACACACAAAGCCAGGGACCTTACTGTCTCTTTCACTCCTTGGCAATGTCTGGAGTTAGTGTGCAAGCAGTTCCTCGACCCCCTTGGTTTGATTCTTTGGTCCTGTTGAACATTCATGCCTGGTATCATTCTTTGATGAGGGACAAAAATTTTTTTTAAGGCCTAGACTGGCTAAGATGGGCAAAATAAATTTCCTCCTTCCTTTTGTAGATGGGTCAATAGGTCCCAAAGGGAGATACAGTCATCTCTCTTTTTATCTCCTTTTATTAGGGAGGCTGTTTTCTGGGTGGTACAGTGATACACCAAGCCCTGCATTTTAAGAATTCATAAGAGCCCTTCCCATCGGTAATACGAGGCTTTCGTGAGCCTCCCTGTGAAGACATTAACCACATGCCTGGCATGGGAAACCCAATGGAGTCCACAGCATTTTCCAGATGAAGGCTTCCCTTCCACCTAAATTAAACCTGAATCCTTTCCAGGCTGGGGAGGCCCTTAGACATGGACTCTCCTGCCTCAATTCGCTCCTTCAGCCAAGCTACAGACTCGCTCACCTTTCTGTCCCTTTGAACCCACCAGGCTCATCCCAGCTTTGGGCCCTGACATTTGCTGCTCCCTCTTTCCAGGATGCTGTTCCCCAGGTGGTCTGAGCCT